CGAGCAAACAGTGGGTGGAGGCTCTGGGGCCCAGCGAGAGGGGTCCGGCCGCTGTGGGGCCAATGGTGGAGCAGGGAGAACGCCACCCGAGGGAAGTTGTGGTATTCTGGATAACACGGGAGCCTTGGATCCATCAGGTGTTGCATCTGTAACTACAACAGTGACGGCAGCTGCCGTAGTACCTGTCATTTCTGTTGGCTCCACCATCTACCAGTCACACGCACTGCCGGGCTCAGCCATGGGACACACGCAAGGCCTGCATCCCTACACCACCATCCAAACCCATCTGCCTACCGTCTGCACCCCCCAGTACCTGGGCCACCCCCTTCAGCACATTCCCCGTCCTGTCTTCCCTGTGTCTGGGACGGCCTACCCACAAGTATGAGCTCTCTTTCTTTCCTTGTGATATGATTTATGAGTTTCAATTATTTGTGCTTAGAATTTTTATTTCAGTCTGTAATATTATTTGTCTGCATTTAACTGAAGATGATAAATACTAAACTTAAACACTAATGCAGACTCTTACTTGGCAGTCAGTGATGCATAGCGCAACAATCCTGGCAGAATATAAATGGAGAGAGACTCCTACCAGTTTGTTTATATGTGTATGATGATCTTTACAACTATTCCCTTGGATTAACTTAATTTTTTGGCTTTTAATTTTTTGACGGCAGGTATATGACTCAAGGACGGCGTATCCAAGCGGTTTTAAGAGCATCTGTTTGTCTTCTCAGGGAATGCACCCTGCTTTTATTGGTGCTCAGTACCCATTCTCTGTGGCCACTGGCCCTCATCCTCCTATGGCAGCGACCGCTGTCACTTTCCCTGGAGTTCCTGTGCCGTCCATGACTCAGATCGCTGTCCACCCGTACCATACCGCAGAGGCAGCCCTACCTCTTAGCACTACTGTGGCAGGTAAGAACAAGAAGTTAGATTTAAATTCCATCTTAACATGAAGACAATTTTTGGGCATATTATCGAATGTTATTTAGATGAATGCTGAATAGATGCAAGTTTTTTTTTACTTTTGCAGCAGTTTGCCAGAAATTAAAGGGGTGGTTGATTGCGATTTCACTTTTTTAA